GTATTTTAAACTGTATAAAAAAAATTGAAATCAATTGTGAAAATCCATTCCTTATATAGGACGTTCCCTCCTGTTGTTGAGATATGCAAAAAAATTTTTTAAAACGCACTGTATATCTTTATTTAAATTGAATAATACATGTATTAAGAAGTACAATAGTAATAGTAAATTTTATTTTATTTTTTGAAAAATTTCTAATTCACCAAATTTGCTACCATGTATATTGATGTTATTATAACTATTTATATTACTATAAACACCACCATCTATATAAAAACAAATATCATTAACACCAAAAATAGGTAAACAATGATGACCACAAAGAATTGCATATGTATAAATAATTAATATAGCTAGCATTAATATCATTTCTATCACTTATATTAAATATAAAACTTCCAATTGTTGATTTATAGGCATTTATTACATTTCCATTCCAATTAAATGGATTATAACCACCAATTATTTGATCTGAATTTTGTATTTTGCCAACTACAAGAGTTTTGTTGAAATTGTCACATTTTTGATGAAATACTGTATGATCTAAACCATCTCTACTACTGCAATATAAAAGTTTAAATTCATATTTAACTTCTTTGTGTGAACTGTATGGTGAGCTTTTTCTATCTATCCAACTTGCAAAAGGCAAAGCAAGCTTTTCATTAATTGTCATTGATCCAGACTTTGGAATAAGTTTTATAATGTCTTGATGGTAAAATTTTTAATGCTTGTTGACTATTAGGAACTAAATAATTTTGTAATAGGTTGTTCCAGAAAAAATCAGTAAAAAGTTTCTGATAGGGCACAATTTTATTGAAAAATTCCTCATCAGAAATATCCTGAAATCTTATTAAAGAATAAACTCCTTTATTGTGTTGCTTAAATCAACAAAATTTTGTGATGACCAATTTTTAAGGTCATTAAGAATATTTTCCCAAATAATTATTCCATTAATAGAAAAATCATCTCCTTTGAGAATTTCCAATAAAATTGGTTTTTCCAATGACTCAAATTCACTTGATTGAAAAAAATTTTTTAGATAGATATTTTCAATTCCTTAAATTTTTCATAAGAATAAATCAATTGTAGAATTTTAACTGGATTTTCTTTTATATAATCTTCATGTTCTTTAATAAAATAATTCATTGTATATTCATAAAGTGATTCAAGTCCAAATTCATCAGCTGCAATTAATATTTCTAATACATCAACTCCAGTAAGTTCATCTAATTCAATCTTACATGTATACAAAAATCTTTTAAAAGTAAATAATTATTATTATATATTCAATAAATAAATTAATATAATAATTTAGTATAAGCTTTAGAATATTTTTGAAAGGTTGCTCATTAATATTGGTTTTTTTTAACAATATAATAACCATTTTCTTTTGTTGCATTACTTAATGCAATGCTAAAAAATGGACAATGAGTACATATTATGGATGTAAGTACATGGATTTCTTTTATGTTTGGTTCTATACTTACATATATTTTACATAATAAAAATCCTCTGTATTTAATAACCTTTCATTTTCATTAAATATTTTCCTAGTATTGTTGAGTCCATTTTCAAAAAAAAATTTTGAATTGTAAAATGGGGAAATGAATGGTCAATCAAATGTTATACTACAAATCTTGCTGATCATACAAGATAAAAAATTAATTGATTTCTTTTGTTTGCTTGATGTGAAATTAAAAGAACATTAAACTATATTTTGAATTTAATCCTAATGGAAAAAAGGACCCCAAAATTGGTTGACAAACTGATTATAATGCAATCAAAATATTATTATGTTTTAGAAAAAAGGGTTTTATTTATTTAATAAAAGTCAATGATAATAAGTAAGAATGAATCAACTTGAACTCGAAATTTAATACATTTTTTTTTAATATATCAGATATATATAATTTAAAAAAGATATTATACTATGATCAAGTTTTTCTGTATGTAACTTGAATAACAAAGTAGATAATGTGCGAGAAATTTTTATTTTATTTTAGACCTTGTAGCCACAATGTTTACCTTTGTTTCAATGGATTATAATTAAATTCTTGCTTTAACATATAAAATTCTGGTACAATTAGTAATGAAATTTTCTTATGTGCTTATGTGTCTAGCCACTCTGTTGAAACAAGAATTAGACATTTCTATATGATATACTGTGTAACAGAACTCTACCCTTAATATTAAGGGATAAAGAGATCCGTTACACACCATTATTAACAATATGAATTCGCTCGCTATTTTAGTAATTTTGCTTACAAAAAAATAAAATAAAAATAATGTCTTCTTCACATTTACATACTTCACAAAAAAATGACAACAATAATATTAATACTAATGAAAGGTATTATTGTTATCGACATAAATTAGATCTAAAGAGAAATTCTATGAATTCTAATGAATCTACCATGCTTGAGAATTTACAACAGGTAATTAATTATTTGTCTTTAAAAAATTTATTTTATATTATTTTATATATACAAAAAATCAATTATTGTTGTATTTTTAATTATATAATAAGATGCCAACAGAAGAAAAACAAACAATTGAACAAATATTATCATTATTTTCTAAACTTTCTTTAAAAAGTCGAAATACTGCTTTAGAAGGTTTATTGCACCAATGCTGCTCAACACAATTATCATTTCTTTCAAATAGATTGGAAGATTTGAACCGAATAGACTTTATTGCATACATTCCGGAGGAACTCTCGCTTCATATTCTTTCTTATTTGGATGCAACTTCGCTATGTCGTGCAGCTCAAGTTTCCAAAACATGGAAGCTATTAGCTGACGATGATCAGGTGTGGCATAAATTATGTGAACAACACATCGATAAAAAATGTTATAAATGTGGTTGGGGACTTCCTTTATTGGAAAAAAGAAAACACATGAATAAAAGAAAAATCCTTCAAAATCCATCACCACCATCATCACCACCACCCTCATCTACTCGTTATTTAAATATTTTAGATGATGATAACAATAATAATAATACCTTAGTAATGACATCACGCCCTTCTATTTCACTTACATCGCCATCAACATTAGATAATATAAAAAGAGAGACAAAACGTTTATGTACAGCATCACTTAGATCTGCGCTGTTATATTCAGATGATGATAATGATGATAATAATAATAATTGTCAAGTAATAACTACTAAACCCTGGAAAGAAATCTATCAAGAGCGTCTTGCCGTTGAAAGAAATTGGCGAAGTGGTACATATAATACCCGTGTGTTGAAAGGACATCGAGATGGGGTAACCTGCCTCCAGTTCAACGAAGAGAAGAATATTCTAATTAGTGGGTCTTATGACGCAACTGTTAGAATATGGGATATTGAAACAGGAGAAAATGTGCGTACACTTAAAGGACATTGGAATTGTGTCAAAACACTACAATTCGATGATGTCAAGCTTGTAACAGGCTCTTTGGATCATACGATAAAATTATGGAATTATAAGACAGGGCAGTGTATCAGGACGTTTCGTGGACACATGGGTGGAGTTAATTCTATACATTTTAATGAACGGATACTTGCTAGTGGATCAGCTGATTGCACAGTTAGGGTCTGGAATTTCACGTCATGTGTACAGTATGCTCTGAGAGGCCACACGGATCGTGTGAACTGTGTTAGAATTTACAAACAGTCACGAGTCTTATCTTCGTCAGATGACTGTACGATAAGAGTATGGGATTTACCAACAAAAACTTGTGTACGAGTATTCAAGGGGCATATATTACAAATTCCGTCGATAGAATTTGCCTCCCTATCGATGTTTTCAAAAATGTTTTCTTCAGTTCATCAAGAAAGCAACAACAATAATGTTGATTATGGTAGTAATAATAATGGTGATGACGGTGATAGTATTGTTGAACAAAGATGCGGAGGAGGAAATCATGAAAACGAAGATTTACCTATTATTGTGTCGGGTTCGCTCGACAATACAATAAAAATCTGGTGTTTTCAATCAGGAAAATGTTGTAAAACGTTATTTGGTCATCTTGAAGGTGTTTGGACTCTGGCATTAGATAAATTGAGATTGGTGAGTGGTTCACAGGATAATTTAGTGAAGATTTGGGATAAGGATACAGGACATGATTTACATACCCTGGAAGGACATAGCCAACCAGTGACATGTGTCGCATTGAGCGACACGAAAATTATTAGTGGCAGTGATGACAAAGAAATTAGAATTTGGGATTTTAAAGTTTAATGAAGTGGAGTTAGGAACCAAAATATTAATGAGATTTTAATAGAAAGTCATAAATTAATTAATAAATTTAATTAATGAATGTAATTAAATTGTCATAATTATATATTGTTGTATATTTATTTTGTATTATATTATCTATTTTATTTAATTAAAATTACACTTATATACTTTATTTTTTTAAATTATATATAATTAGATTTTCAGCGGATCAAACTGATTAATGATTATCGAGTTGATCAACTTGATTGTTATAACAATAGCATAAAATTGAAATATTTTTTTACCCTAGTTTTTTCCCAAATGAATTAGGTAACGCCAATCCAAATATACAGGTTTTTTAATCATGTAACCTTTATGGTTTAAGAAAAAAAAATAAATATGTATAGGATTATCTTTATATAAAAATATGATTAATTATGTTGTTATATTGCATCATCTAAGGAAAAATGTCGACATGTTTTACATGAATTTACAATTCACTCCTTTTCATGCAAAAAACCAACTATTTTTGGTTAATTGAGACAGTTCTGATTTCTTCCTACACCGAAATCGAATTGGTAGAGATGTGATCTGTAGATTATTTCGTCATGATAAATTTTTTTGGATAAGTACGAAGTTGTCATCAAATAAAGTGAAATTGGTATAATGGACATATTCCTTTTCAAAGACATGGTGACAAGGCTCTGAGATGTTTAAAATTTGACGATGAAAAATAGTTTTAGGTTCAGTAATTGATATCCACGAATTATTCAGAGTTGCTGCCACCGCAAAAACTTTATCAACAAAAAATTAATTCTCCATCAATATCAAAGTAATTCAATAATGGGTAGAAAATAAGAAATGGTGGATAATATAAAGAAGAAATGATATATAAAAGGTGAAGGAGATCTTATTAATAGTGATAATAGTGTAGCATCAATGGTTTTGGGTCTGGATATTTTCCTCATGTAACTACTCTGGTTGTTTTTTTTTATCTTATTAAAATAAATAAGATATGATTTATCTTTTGTTGTCTAATAATTTCTTGTCTTTAAAATGTTCGCGTTGATTGATTATATATGGGGCATACTGCAACAAAACCAGACAAAGTGAACATTTGTATTATCAAAAATTTCAGGGACCAAAATTTAGTCATTTGTAACGCGAGGGTCTGGGACACTTTACCGACACCCACTTTACCGACAAGACACTTTACCGACAACACGCGGGGTTACATTTAATCTCTACATAATCAAACAAACTACAAAATGCTAAAATATCACGTCGCGTGTTGTCGGTAAAGTGTCTTGTCGGTAAAGTGGGTGTCGGTAAAGTGTCCGGGTCCGTAATAACGCGAATTATAAAATGAAATTCAATCAATCAATTTTTTAAATTAACTTAAAAAATTATGTCTGGTAACAAGCGCAACAGTTTTATTTGGCAATTGATTGCGAAGGAGATAGATAGTTAATTTCTTATAAAGTACAGTTGTGGCGTATTATTTTTACGCCTTGTAAAATTAATTTGCCATTCATTTTTTTTCAAGGATCAATTATAGGCACAAAAAATGTTTCTCGAGTTTCATAAAATTTGTTTGTTTTACTTAATATATAGATAAAACAAGCGTTTTTTTCCCGTTGCTTGCAGAACTTTGTTTATTTATTTATGACATATTTTTGGTAATTATTTGTTATTATAGACGAGAACTAATTCAATCATGACATGTATGAATAGACCTTTCTGCAAAAAAAAAAAAATATAGGTTACGGTGATTATAGCTGCTGTGGCTGGCACCACGATTATTTATTTTTTTAAAACAAAATGAACAACAATCTTCGTAATAACCATCAATAAAATAATTCTATCTATTCTAATAATAATATTGATACTAACACTTTTGATGGAAATCCTTCTACCTCCAATATGAGTGATATGGATGTTGATAATTTTAATAATCCGGCAAATAACACTATTTCACATACCCGAGAAAATATTCGGTTATCTCACCAAATTGAATATATATATAATCGATTAAATCGAAATGTGAGAAGTGTTAAGATAAAATTATCCGAAATTTATAATAATATTATTAGTAGTAATAATAATAATAATAATAATAATCTAAATAATAGTGTGTATTATAATCATAATTATTAATAAGATTTTTTTAAATAAATTTTTATGACATCCCCTTTGAAAATAGGGTATTTTTTTCTCCGTACGGAGAATTTTATCATGATGTCAATGACAGTCGACGTACGACGAGGTTCAAGGAATATCTGATCATGCATGGGAAAGAACTAAAGAAAAATATCAATATAATTAGTTTTGACTGTGTGTAATTGAACTTTTTATATTCTTTTCTTTGAGATATATATGTGTTTGCATATAAAAAGAAACAGATTTTATTGTTGTGCAATTTTAACTTCTGATATTTATCTTAATTAAGCCTAACTGTGTTTTGTACCCAATATGTAGTTATCAATTGCATCTTTTTCTTTATTTGCAACTTGGCTTTCAAGAGCCCATTTCTTTAATTCATCAATAATAATAACGATATTTATTTATTTCATGAACCAAATTTAAAATAATTCCTTACGAATAATCTCTTTGTACTATTCAGTTTTTTATAAAATCTATAGATATTTCACGTTGATCTACTGCATTGTTATCAGAGATATTTATGAATTCAGCTGTGTGATAATTGAAATTGTGATTCAGCATAAATGCAAAAAAAAAAGAAAAAAATATAACTTATAATGAAAGTCAGGGAAAGGCTCGTATCAAATTCATTTGTATCATCATCACTTCCGCTTTCATTCCTACATCTGCTTTTCGCTTTCCACATTATCATCTACTAAATTCCTTATGAAGGAAACACAATATGAATAGTTGATAGAGACATAGGTAAACATACGGTATAAATGCAAAGAAAAGCATGAGGTCGTTCAAGTTTAAAGATCATTTTTTTCTAAAAATACGAGTGGGAAACAAAAATTTAAACATTTCTTATAATAAGAATCAGGAAATCACTTGTCCAATTCATACTTTTGCTTTTGACTTCCCAATATTATCATCCATCATTCAAGAAACATAACATTCTGTTGAATTCTCGTTAAATATTTTTCTAGGTGACTAGATTCACGGCGCCTCAGTTCCTATAACCACCCCGGTGTCAAATTCTAAACATTTCTTTTCTGCATCGTCCCAATACTGCATATTATGAAAGTTCCTTTCTATAACACAGAAAATATTTTCACGAGTTAAATATGTAATAAGTAAATTGCATTGTTCAAGCAATCAGCTTTTAAAAAGTAAAATATTAAATTAATAATTGATTAAGTTTAGATAAGCAAAATTATATCATTTCAAAATCTTCGGCTGCAAGTATTGCTGACTAGTAAAGCATAATTTCTCAGTTGTTTCGCATATATTTTCACTTCTTATGATGACTTGGAAGTTGGACAATCGTGTCTTTAAAAATTTGTTTTGATGGTCGTACCAGAACTGAAACTCATTCTAGAAAAACATATCAACTTCAGATCCTTCATCAATAAAGAACAATAGTCTTCCAACACCCAGATTTTCTTTTACAATTTTTATGAGGCACTGTCTGTTTATCCATCTTTCCAACTTCAGTTTCACCCACCCCTCCTATCCCCCCCTCTCAAGACATATTGTTTCTGATGAGAGCACAATACCAAATGGATAATATGATTTCTTACTATTACTATTATTCAGTGTATACCAGATCCGGTTAATTGTGTGTTGAAATTTTTCATTGGTTAATTAATCGGGTGTTGAAAATTTCCACCGAATCAATCAGCAATAATAATATAGTACATTTTTTGCTATGATGATTTAGTGGCAGGGACTTTTCGATCAATAAAGACGTGACTATATGGGGGCGTGGACAGCAAAAAGGCAAAATAATGACATAATTACATGTAAGATATTTTGCAGTTTTTTTGGGAAATGCAAGAATGAATGAAAAGTACATAAACAAAATTGCATAGCCCAAGAAATTGTGGCTATATATTAATTAAGTTAATTGGTTAATTAATTAAGTAGGGATCCAAAGAACTATTTGTTACGAGAATTATTGTATTTCTAAAATAAATAGTGAAGACAAAAATGATCATTAAATAATAACACATTATTAAAATAAATCGGAGTTGTCTAATTGTTGAAAATTTTTAAAAAATTTATCAGTTCGGTTCCATAACATAATTCGAAATTTTCTTTATAATATTAATACAAAATAAAAGACCATTAATATTAATTTATTCTGAACCAACTTTAAGGAATAAAAAGACATGTAAATAAACTTGTTGCAACTGGGCCTGAAAAAATCACATTAGAATTGTTTCTTCTTCTTTATCTTTTTCTGGGGTTTCTTCTTTCAGTGGCTTCTTTTTTTTAGATCTTCCGATTTTTTCAACCCTTGGTTCATATTCACAACTTCACTTAAAAGATTAATATTCTTATTGATTGTTCTTAATGCCCTCTGTAAAATTTTTTCTGCAAAATTGCTTATATCATATTCTCTTTTAACACTTTTGACTCCTTCTTCCATTAGTCCTCTAGAAAATCGAGAACGACACTATACTTTCTTTAGCTTTATTGTAGATTTCTTTATAATATTGATTGTATTTACCAAAATCTTTTTCTTCGCAAGTTTAGCAGTTGCAGTTTCAGGATCTCTTTTGACAAATGTAGCACATGCAATCTAAATCATCATCATAATACAATTCTTGCACCTAGAATTACTAATAAAATTTGCATCACGTATGTGACTACATCAGTGTCTGAAATTGAGTGCGGGGGTTTGTGTTACATATTGAATTTAGCCAATCAAATTTGTCCTTCGGTAGAAAATTTAACGTTGATTGGCTAAATTTCAATATGTAACACAAACCCCCGCACTCAATTTCAGACACTGGACTACATAATTTGCATTTTGAAACATATAACCAAAAAAAAAAATAAGAGCTATTCATAAAATTTTTCATGATTTTCAATATGGTCATTAATGCTGCCTCGAGACTTAATGACCTAAATATAAAGACGAATATTGTGTGTTTAAAGAAATAAATTCTTTTGTTCATCTAATAATATTGTTGCCGGTTTTGTTAGAAAATCAATTATTATTATTGATAACTCTTAAATCCTTAGATATCTTTCTCTTAAAAGAAGATAATCAGAAATTTCATCTGCTCCATTAAGACTATGGACTCTACATTCTCAAATTCCTTCCATGAAAATGAACAAATAATATTGATATAGTTCGTACACTTACTCAGGCAGACATCCATATAGAGGAAATTGACGCATTAAAACCTATATTATACAAATCTCAAACATTTGCTGTTAATTTACAATAGTGAATTAAAAAAATTAAAAGTTTAATTGATCAAAAAATAAGTATTACAATAAATGTGTCAACCGATAAAAAATAAATTTATAATATAATATGTAAAATAAAAATATCAGTACAATGTGCTCTTAAATAATAATAATCATATTATTACAAAATTTTTTTATTAACCCGAAATCAACCCGAACTCGACCCGAAAATCTTGGGTTGGCC